GCCTTGAATTTCTTCAAATATTCTTTAAGGTTGAGATTCCCTTTCTTCAAGTTGAGTAACGCCTCGTTGAGATGAATCTCGTTTTCTTTGGTCATTGTGAGAAGTTGCTCCTCTAATGATCTCCACACTTGATAGGCAGTTTCTGTGCTTTCAATCATGCACAGCACATCTTCATTGATAGTTCCTAAAAGCCACGAAGTCAGGAGACCATCATTGTTTATCCACACGGTATATTGTGGATTAACAGATTTGTCTTCCTTGCTGCTTCCAACGTGTTCTTCTGGTGGCTGATCATTAGTAAGATGTTGCTCCATTCCCATAGTTCTAATGAGGGGCAGGATCTCAGATTTTCATAGAAGATAGTTGTTGGAATTGAGCTTAATAGAAATGAGGCTGGAGCATTGATGAAATAGTTAAATAGTAAGACTATTTTCTGTTTTGGCCATTTTGAAATCCAAAGCTAAAGATTGATTAGAACTTTTCTCATGTAATCGTATGCTCTGATACCAAGAAAGAATTCAAAATCAAAGTTTTAGCTTGTTGGACAAAACAAATGACAGTGGGCTGATATTTTCACTTGTGTCAATTCATCAAGCACCAAAATGTAAACTAAATACTGATTACACGAGAAAATCCAAAAAAAGGAAAACAACGGCTACTAAGGACACATATAGAAGGAATTGAAAAAAGACAAGAAAGGAAAGAGCATTCATTGTAATGAATGCTGAAAAGATAATTGTCAGTGTACCAAAAATAGAAGATTGCTAGTCTGTCATGAGACTCTGATCTGTACAAGCTGGAAATTTCTTTTCACGCTGAAGGCAAGAATGAGGAAGATTTCATTGGAGAGAGATTCAAGGAAAAGAATCAATTCCAAAGGATCTCAAGCTGTGTTGGGGTAGAGTATGGTTAGGCATTTGGTTTATGCTACTGGTTCATTTTGATGTTTAAACCTTTAAGTTTTTGGTTGAAAGACTTTGCTGCTGATTTGATGTTTATGTTAGTACCCAAGAATGATGTTTAAACCTTTTAAGAATGACATTGTTGCTGATTTCGGTTTGATCTTTAAAATTTTAAATAAAACTTAATTGTACTATTGATATATGTACGATGTATACTTGATATATCACTGATATATTATTGATATACAGAAAAACTCTAAGTTTCTATTTACCTCTAATTTCTAATTGATTTCTCATTCACAGTAATTTCGAAAATCACCATTGACATTCACATTCACGTTCCTTTCAAGTTTTCTTTCTCATTGTCAGTAAGTATCTAATTTTTTCCTCATTTTCCATGCATGTCAATACCTACTGATTTCTAATTGATCAAAAATACAAAACAAAAGGTTAAAGCAGGTAAAATAGTGATTTACTATTATATAACTGATATAGAATTGATTGACTTTTGATATACTATTATTTACTTATGATATACTAATGTTGTCAGATATACTCCTGATATATATGTGATATATGTTTGATATATAATAACGAAGCGATAATTGAAAAGGGCAATTTGGGAATACTGAAAATTTTAAGATCAGGATTTTCAAAAAAATGCTATATCTTAAAATATCAAAAAGGCATGCTATTTTGCTAAATATAAAAAACATATATGCTACCGATTACAAATCCTCAAACTTTTAAGAGTTTTTAAGAGTATTAGAAAAATAAAAAAATAAAAATAATAAACAAAATAAATAAGTGCCCGTTTGATAACCATTTCATTTTTTGTTTTTGGTTTTTGGTTTTTAGTTTTTCAAAAACAGGATTGTTTGATAACCAATTCAATTTTCTATTTTTTGTTTTTCAAAAAACCATTTTGAAATTCTATGTAAATTTCAAAAACAAAAAAAAGGTAGTTTTCGAAAACAGGTTTTTGTTTTTCAAAATCTTATTTTTTCTTCTAATAGTCAATTTTTTTCCTTTCTCATATTTATCTCTAAAATTTTTATTTTTCACTCTAAATTTTTTTTTATTTCTAGATTTCTAGATTTCTTTCCATAAACTTTATTTTTCTCTCTCTAAAATTTTCATATTTTGAATATTTATTGTTATTTGTCTCTCTCCAAAATTTACCGTATTTTTGTTTTTTCTAATAGATCGGTTTCATTTCTCTCCCTAAAAATTTATTATTTTTCCTAACTTTTTTCTCTCTAAAATTTCATATTTTATAACTTTTATTTCTTTTCGTAATCTATTTTTTCCTCTAAAAATTATATTTTATTTTCTCGTTCAATTTTCTTTGATTGTAACTTTTATTTATCTTTGTATTTATTTAATTTCTATAAAAATTATATTTTGAATCTCGCTTTTATCTCTAAATTTGTTGCCACTATAGTTTTTCTCTTTCTTTATAATTCTTTTTTTTCTTTACCATATCCTTTCCTCTCGACTTTATTTTTTTCTCCTAAACTTTTCTCTTTTTGTCTTTAACTTTTCTTTCACTATTTATTTTTTCTAAATATTTTTATTTATCTCTCTAAAATTTATGTTCCAAAAGTTTATTTACATGCTATTTTCATGTCTCTGGGGAAGACAAAAATTTCCGCAAGGTCGGGTCCCAAAAATATAAAACGCATGTCTCGACTCCGACCCTATCCCTGTCCTCGATTCTATTTTTTAAATAATTACAAACAATTATAAAAAACCGATAAATTTTCTCGAGAACATCTCTCGGACTCAAGAATGAGGTGAAGACAAAGACTAAAAATTTTCACGAGCACGACAACGGGGGATCATCCTCACTCGCACCCACACAATTGTCATCTCTACCTTACATAAAAAATTTTCTCTAATATGTGTTTTCAATTTTCTAACTTTTTAAAAACTAAAAACTAAAAATGATTACCAAACATGTTTTGGTTTTTTGTTTTTTAAAAACAGAAAACCAAAAACCAAAAACTAAAAACACGAAAAACTAAAAACCAAAAACTAAAATGGTTATCAAAACCCTAAATAAACAAAACATATGTTTTAAAGAATGGTTATATTTCGTGAAATACATTTTATCTCCATATTATAATTTATTTTCAGTTTTGTATTTTGTTTTCTATCAAAGAAATACTGCATTCAAAAGAAACAAAAATCCGCCAAAGGTTACCTCACCCACCGCAAGAAACCGGAAAGGAAAATAACTCCCCCAAAGAACTGAATACAGGTTTTGTATTTTTTTAAAATTAAACTTAAATTACAATATGCACACATAATCAATCACATCATGTATTAATAATTATGGAATGCATATTTAGAGTTTTGAAACTGGTTTTAAAATTCAGATTATATGCCTCACCAAATGCATTGTTTCATCTGATATAATAATGTGTGTTATACATATTAATGAAATAATTAAGTTTAGTGAATATAATTATTTCAAAAGATTAAACCAATGCTTGTCCGATGAAAAAGGTTGTGTCCTCTAGGATTGGGTAAAAATCTTCTGTAACTTTATTCCGATGAATCAACTAATTTTGCATTTTGAGTATTTTTAAAATAAGATAAAATGATTAAAATAAGTTTAAAAGCCTTGTACAGATTTCAATTCACCTAATTAATTTAAAAAATAATTATTCTCTCATGATTTGTAGGCAAGAACTCTAATTAATTTATCAACTATATCTATCCCGAGAAAGTTTGGCCATATCTCTAATTTCAATTCCAATATCCCTATCTAGCATTAAAAACTATAAATTGATTAGAACAAATTTATGCGCGATTTTGGGATCTGAATTCAGTATCGAATGGCCCCGAAATTCTCCTCCATCCTCCGCAACCTGAATGCTCACCTAGTTTACCTGGAAGAGAAAAATCTCTTAGGAGGGCACCCAACCTAAAAACATTATTCCAAGCCAAACACGTTTAGCTTCGAAGCTCTTATGTGCAAATGAAGGTACGCCTTGTTGGATTTGTAGGAAGAATGCAAATAAAGTCTCACGTTGATTAGGCAAGAGAATGATCCATGATATATAGATGAGGACTATTATTTCGATTGGTATAAGGTCTTTGAGGTAAAACCAGAAGTAAAGCCGAGTGCTAGGTGAAAAACTCACTCATTTTAATAAAATCAACTAGTGCATGCAGAAATTCTCTCAGTTTTGTACCTATCATGTGTTTTAGTTTTTTACCAATATATCACATGTTTTATAATGGATGAAATACACAAGACAATACCTTTTCAAAGAAAAACTTATCCGAAAGTAAATATTACAATACATTTACAAATTTAATGTAAAAGATTACAATTTTTTCTAAATTTACGTTTCAATCGGATGAAATTAAAAATTCCAAGGTCAAAACTAATAAAAATTGGGAAATTGAGGGTAAATAAATTTTGATTTTTTCTTTAAAATTTTATTTATAATTACATATATTATATATTAAAGGGAATCCAGAGAAAGTGGGGAGAAATCCATATTTTATTCTTGTTATTTTCTTTAAAAAAGAAATAAAAAGATAGCGTGGAATCTTATGAATGAAAGGAAAGTTATGGATGAGTGGGATATTCTTTTCTCATCCTACAAATAGGATAGCTTGTAAGAGTTACCAACATAGCAAACACACAACTTTGAATTTGGAAGAAAGCCAAACAAAGAGCAAGAGAAGAATATGGTGCACCTTCCAAGGTACCATTCAAATCTAAATTAAAGAACGACTACATAAAAATCGGCTATTTGCGGTATGTGAACGAAGATTCAGAAATAAAAACATATTTGCAATACTCTGGAGAGGCCGTTCTAAGTCCATACACAAAGTTTGAAGTAGAACGGGCTAAATGTGACCCCTCATTGGTCAATATACGATGTTGTTACAACAACAAATATTGGGTTAGTTTGGCTGAAACTAAATATTCTTATTTTACTGCTGCAAGGGCTGAAAAGCCCGAGGAAAATTAATCTAAATGGAATTGCACACTGTTCCAACCTGTTTATGATAGTTCTCATCAAGCATTTCGATTTCGCCATGTTTTTTCTAATTATTTTGTGACCTTGTGCCGAGATGGTTTTGCTCAAGGGAAATGCTTGTATGCAAATCTTCCATTCCCTAACGATTGGAATCTTGGTGATCTTAACACAATCATTGATTATGAAGCCTTGGTTTCAATACCTAAGTATGTTGCTTTCAAGGGTCATAATGGTTGCTACCTCAGTTCTCGTTGGATTGAAGGTCATCAATATCACCAATTTTCATCAAGTGATATTGGCGATTCTAGGGTTCGAATGGAAACGTTCATCACAAAAGATGGAAATATTAGAATTAAGTCAAATTACTTTGGAAAATTTTGGAGACGTAGTCCTAATTGGATTTGGGCTGATTCGACTGACACCACAACCGACGATCCTGATACTTTGTTTTGCCCAACTAAAATTGATAACCATGTGATCGCTCTTCGTAACTTGGGTAATAAAAACTTTATCAAGAGGTTCACATATGAATACAAGACAAGTTGTCTTAATGCTGCTACGGACTCAATTGATGCATATTCCCGATTACACATGGAAGAGCCTATTCTTGAAAGAGAAATTTATGATATAAATTTCCATCCTGCCGATTCAAGAATCTATGATCAAACTGTACTTGTTATGGCCACTGGGAATGGTACCAACCGAACAGAAGTACCCAACACAATGAACTTGAATCTATCGTATATTGAAACCGAATCAAGCACGTGGAGTTCTTCGATCTCTATTAAATTGGGTGTTAAAACAAGTATTGAAACAGGAATTCCTCGTATTGTTGATGGAAAGGTTGAAGTATCGTCTGAGTTTACTGGATCATACCAATGGGGAAAAACTATAACAAAAACGCAGACAATTGGAAGCACATATCAAATAACTGTGCCACCAAAAACTACTGTGATTGTCAGTTTGTTGGCAACTACAGGTAAATGTGATGTTCCCTACTCGTATAGTCAACGTGACACTCTCATTAATGGGGAAATAAAATATTATGAAATGGATGATGGTGTATACCACGGTGTCAATAGCTACAATTTCACATATGAAACGAAAAGCAAACCAGCAAGTTAATTAATACTACTAGTGATAAGAATGTTTGTGGGTAACATTTTTTAAAAACCCTCACGAGAATGTTGAAAAGGCTTGTTGCATGTGCTAAATGCAATCGTGTATTTCCTTTACTTACGTATGTGTGTGGCTGTAATTTGTATTATCTATGTAAAAGAATAAAAGTATTGTAGGGATGTCTACAATATAGTAATAAAATGTCATCTTCTCCATATTGAGAGTTAATAAAAGTTTGCTTTATTACTTATCGTTGACTAATAAATTTTGGCGAATCACAAATTGCCACGTAATTATAATGACAAAAATTATGTCATTAAATTGAGGCCAACTAAATAATGTCACATATTATTTTTGGGCATTTGAATTCGACCAATCAAATAATGTTATAAAGATATTATGACATAAGTTGATCTAATAAGATTGGGCCACATATAACATATAAATTGGTCCAATCAAAATTTGCCATGTCTATTTGATGACATAAGCTAACCCAATGAAATTGTGCCACGTGGCGACGAACTTATAATCAGATGGGTCCAAGCCCACCTAAGGCCTATGAAAGACCCTATAAATAGAGAGGTTCATTCACAATCTAATTCATTTTTGAAAAGATCAAAATCCTCCATCCCATCCTGTAGAGGAATAAAATTCTTCATCCTCCCTAGGAACAAAATCCTCCCTACAAAAGAATATCAAGATCATCATCAACAATCGGGATCAACAAGTCCATAAGGCCTAGCCAATCAAGATCATGATCAAGCAAGAGGTATTTCAAGATCAACATCAAGTCCGAGATCGATCAAGATCAGAAAACCACTGATAGG